GGAGAGACTGAGAGCAAATATCCTGATAACAGGGCAGGATAAACCTTACAAAACAAATACAGGCTGAAGCAAAAGCAGCCAGATGTTCAGGCTTGAAGAAAGATTTTGACTTCATGAAATAAATGTATTGCATGAAGTCATGAGGATAAAGGATAAAGCAGAAGCAAACCAGAAAAGAAACCACTCTGCTGCTCTTCTCAAAAACAGAACTCGCAGCCTTTTTCAGTCACTGGCAGCGTCCTCATAACGGTTTGTATCAGTTGCTGAAAACACTCAGCACTATTTTCAGCCATAAAAAATATGATTATCTGATGCATGTGTGTCAGTGTTACTCGTAATATTTCTAATAAAGCTAAAATAAAGAACCTAAAAAGAAAGGTTTTTTCAGAGTCCGACAGTTCTGGTTTTGTTCAAAGCAAATTTCTCCCTCTGTCTGTCTTTTGTTTTTGGTTTTTCAAGGTGCACAGTCTGTTTTTGTTTTTTTTTTTTACATGTACATTTTTGTACATTTTTAAAACCCACAGTTATGATGACCTACACTATAAAAATAATGCTGGAGGAAGAAAACCTGAATTTTCCTGATTTTGATTTGACCTCCAGTGATTGAACCGTCAGTCACAGTGTGTGATCACTTTGGTTTTTCACGGAGGAGAGGAAGAAAACTTTTTCTCTGCAGTGACGTCTTTGAGCCGTTTGCTGCCACGACAGTGTGGCTGAAGTCTGCTGTAGTGCGCAGGAAGGAGGAGGATGATTCCTGGGTGGCGTCTGAGCCTTTGAGCCAGGCATCATGAGAACTGATCCGTCACAGTGCTGCAGCTCGAAGGTGCTGAGGTTCTCTGCAGAGGCGGAGAAGTGTGCTGCAGTGCCGCTGAGCCAGGCACTGCTATACCTGCTGCTGCTGCACCAACCGTCTGAAATGTGGCATGACTTTGCTCTCTGGGAGGTAGAGCGCCATCTCCAGGGCGACCAGGATGGTGAACTCGAATGATATGAGCTCCCTCCTGCTGATCCTGAAACGCTCCTCCAGCTTCTGCAGGAACAAACCAGCACGTGAGAGAGAACAAATACTTTCTGATGACACAAACCGTTTCATGTCTGACTCCACGTCTGTGGGAGTTTGAAATCTTGAAATTAAAATAAACATGGTATCTTTTTT